GTCCAACTAGCTAAGTTTAGCTAGCCTGAAGCTTCTCCAGCTGAATCGAGCTTCCCTTAGCATTCCATGAGCTGCCTTGTACTTTGTGAGCTGTTTGTGAGCTATATATGACGTCCAAATCATTCACCAAGCTACCTCAACGTGCATCACACTCCATTGTACCTATATGTGCAAGAAAACAAGGTAAGTTCATGATATTGAGCTAAAACGAGCTAAATACCTTGCTGCCATGTTTGTTTATGGTAATATGAGCTAAGTATGATGGTCATGAGCTAAGTACATCATCTCCTAACATGTGTAAGATAATGTATAAAGCCTAAGAGTTAATATGAATGCAAATAAACTAATGAAATGCATTATAAGTATGCTGCCTTGATGTATATATAATAATCATGCTTAATATGATAATAAAACTATCCTAACATGCTTAACATATTAAAAATAACAATGTGTAAGATGTGTTCATACTAAGTTATTCTTTAGCTATTAAAACATTATATAACATAACATGAGAGAGTGTTAAGTTATCAAATGAATCAAAAGCTTCAAGACACTTAGTTAAGAGAACTTCCCTGAATTGTTTGGCCCTTGACCTAGTAATGGGACCGTGTGGCATGACCTCCGGATCTGGTGTAGACGTGACTATATCATCCCCCCTTCTTTTAAGCGATTTGTCCCCAAATCGTGTCCATCCTGTCCTTGCATAGCTTCACGCCTCTTTGCTAATAGAAAGTATTCTTTGAACGTTTGTGTTCTTTCTTTAGGTACCTTTTCGTAAGATTTCATTTTAGGTCTTTCTTTGGAATATGATTTACCAACAGATACCTTTTGGGAATGATCTTTATCTAAGGATATCCCTTTTGGAAGTGACATTTTACGTGATTGGTCCTGAAAAGTGAGAAGAGAAAAGGTTTCATATGAAGGGTTACTTACCTTTTGAAGATTAAACCCATTGGTGAAGAGTTGCGACTTTAAGTCCCAAACATCACCATTGTTCGTAGAAGACCCTTCATTTTCCAGCATTGAACCATCATGTTTCTCTATGAAGAAGTTTGGTTTCTTATTTTGTTCCTCTTCATTCTTTGTTGGGTTTTTGTATTTGCGCCATGTTTGTACACTTTTTCTCATATGCAACTGATCTTGTTGCACTTCTTTGGGCGTTAAAGGCATCAAGGTCACCTTGCGTCCATCATGCTTAAAAGTGTATTGATTGTGAAAACAATCATGAATAGCCCTTTTATCATACTGCCATGGTCTCCCAAGTAAATTGTGGCTAGCATGCATAGGGACAATGTCACAAAGCACCTCGTCCTTGTACCTACCAACTGAAAAAGGAATTAGAACCTGTTTGGTAACATTTAACTCACCTCCTTCATTGAGCCATTGGAGTTTATACGGAGTAGGATGCTTTGACGTTGCTAATCCAAGTTTTTCAACCATAAGAGTGCTGGCTACGTTTGTGCAACTTCCTCCATCGATGATCATTGTGCAAACCTTATCCTTGACATGGCACCTTGTATGAAAGATATTGTTTCTTTGAATATCCTCTTGGGATGTTTGTGATTGTAGGCACCTCTTTGAAACAAGCATTTCACCATGATTTGCATTTTCTTCCGTTTCTTCGTCTTGTATTATTTCAGGTTCCTCGTCAAAAATAGGCTCATCAGAATCTGATACAATATCTCCATTGTCAAGTACCATCATGGCATTTCGGTTGGGACATTGACTAGCAACATGTCCTTTTCCAAAACACTTGAAACATTTGATGTCTCTTGATCTCTCGAAAGTGCTGGTTTGCTTTTCTTTACCCTTGCTAGATTCGCCCATTTGTGCAGATTTGGGTATCTCTGCGTGATCCTTTGGTTGGATTGGAGTTTGTTTCCGGAAGGTAATAGGTTCTTGCTTCCATTTGGTGGCCGAATTTGGACTACTCCTAGTGTAGGATTTCCTTTTGAGTTGTCTTTCAATTTTCATGGCCACATGCACCATCTCTTCAATTTCTACATAATGCTAAAGTTCAACAAGGTTAGCAATATCAATATTTAGACCAGATAAGAACCTTGCCATTGTTGCTTCTCTATCTTCATCCATATTGGCTCGGATCATGGTAATCTCCATCTCCTTGAAATAATCTTCAACGTTCTTGCTTCCTTGTTTCAGATTTTGTAACTTATGATAGAGATCTCGGTGATAGTGATTAGGAACAAACCTTTTTCTCATAAGGGCCTTCATTTCTTCCCAAGTTGTGATGGGGCGTTCACCATTTCGTCTTCTTGAACTCACCAACTGATCCCACCAAACTAAGGCATAGTCAACGAATTCCATAGCAGCAAGTCTAACCTTCTTTTGCTCCGTATAGTTTTGGCATTCAAAAATGTGTTCAATTTTGATTACCCAATCAAGATAGGCTTCTGGATCAGTTCGTCCTTGAAATGGAGGAATAGTCACTTTAATGTTGCTGAAGTTGTCATTTTGATTTCGATGAACATCTCTCCTTGCTACTGATGTTACTTCAGCCTCTTCCTCTTCTAAGTCTTCTTCCATTCTAGGGCGATTTACTCTCCAATTGCCAAGAGATACTTCTAATTGATCCAGACGATCTTGCAAAGGCTCCAATTCTAATTTCAGCAATCTTGCCATTTCACGCATAACGGCTTGAGTCTGCAAATTAGGGGATTCTTTTTCTGGGGATTGTCCTGAACTCCGAGACATGGTTAATAAATAAGAAAAGAATAAGATGTGTAAAAGACCTTACCAGAATATACTCTCACAAAGCCTCACGAGTCACTCCAAGAAAACTTGATGTCACTCAATCCGCTCATGTTTGCACTCTAGGACTTTTATTGGCTTTTACTTGTCCTCTTCTGATCTCACACACGCTCCAGTCTTTTTCCCTCAATTCTCTTGTCTCAAGTTCTAATGAACTTTTACTCAAGACTATATCGAGTAATTTCACTTGTTTGGTGTCGGCTGCAAATGGTTAGTAGGAATGGAAAGCAAATATAATTGAAAAGGTGGCTTAGAAATTAGAAAGAAGAGGATGAAAGGGTTACTTACACAAGTCACTTCACAACCTTCTATCACCACAATCAATTTTAAAGGCTTACTTGAAAATGCTTGGTGATGAGAATTGTTGATAAGTGCTTCCAACTTTTCTTTCTTTTCTTTGTTTTTTTTTTCTTCTTTTTGAGTGCTTTGACTTTTGAGTCCTTCAATTTTCTTTGCTGATTTTTTCTTTTTCTTTCACTTTGCACTTCACTTTTGCACTTCTTTTTGTATTTTTTTCTTTTTGTTGTTGTTGCACGTTGCTTCTTCCACCAAAGCTCTGATTACCGCTTGATGTAAGGTACTTGTACCTTTTCAAATGATTGTGGATCTAGGAAGGAAGCAAAACAACCTGCAAAGTGAATGGCTCAAAATATAATGGTTAAGGGTGGTAGACGTATGGGTGAATTTGTAGGCTATTTAAATAATGAGTAATGGAAGCAGAAGATAGTTGATAAGGCTATGGTTATGGTGATGAAATAAAAGGATGGTTGTGAGGATAGTATCTTGAAGAAATCTCAAAGAAGAACCAATGCTATATAGAGCAGAGACCCAATCTTTATATTGTTTCTTCAAGGGATGGTGTTAAGTACTTTGACCCACTAGTTATATGAACTAGGAACCAGAAGTATCAAGATGAAAGGAAGGGTTTGATGCCACAAGTATAAAATACTTGATAAGTCGATAAAAAGTCACCAAGACTTAAGAAGAGAATAATCTCACTTTAATTGAATAAAAAGGTGTAGTTACAAATGATGGAATGTTTTCCTATTTATAGGAAATTGAGAGACATGGCCGAATAAATACAAGATGATTCGGCCAGCCTATGTATCTCCCTATAAAGACATAATTTAAATGCTAAAAGAGAGGATGGTTCGGCCCTAGATGGAGGGAAATGATCCTTGGGTGAATAGTTCTTGTGTCTCCTCAAGTTGGCGCCAATTTGGATGGGAGATGATGCTTGGCCGAATAGGGAGAGGGCTCTTCATCTTGGCGCCTAAATGAGTTCACATGCAAGGCACATGGGGGCTGGTCATATGCACGGCACATGGGTGTTCTAGGAAGCCTTGTGGTGCACCCATGTGCATTGGATGATGGCTGGTAATGTGCTTCTTCTTAGGCATGCATGTGTCTCCTCCAAGCTAGCTTGAGTGTTGAGCTAGCTAGCAAGCATGGGGCTGTTTGTGAATGATCTTCCTAGCCGAGTCCTTTTGAGCTCCATAACAGCATGTTCAGCTACATTCAGCTACCTTTGTCATCACTTTTAGCAACTCAGCTTCAAATAGTCCAACTAGCTAAGTTTAGCTAGCCTGAAGCTTCTCCAGCTGAATCGAGCTTCCCTTAGCATTCCATGAGCTGCCTTGTACTTTGTGAGTGGTTTGTGAGCTATATATGACGTCCAAATCATTCACCAAGCTACCTCAACGTGCATCACACTCCATTGTACCTATATGTGCAAGGAAACAAGGTAAGTTCATGATATTGAGCTAAAACGAGCTAAATACCTTGCTGCCATGTTTGTTTATGGTAATATGAGCTAAGTATGATGATCATGAGCTAAGTACATCATCTCCTAATATGTGTAAGATAATGTATAAAGCCTAAGAGTTAATATGAATGCAAATAAACTAATGAAATGCATTATAAGTATGCTGCCTTGATGTATATATAATAATCATGCTTAATATGATAATAAAACTATCCTAACATGCTTAACATATTAAAAATAACAATGTGTAAGATGTGTTCATACTAAGTTATTCTTTAGCTATTAAAACATTATATAACATAACATGAGAGAGTGTTAAGTTATCAAATGATTCAAAAGCTTCAAGACACTTAGTTAAGAGAACTTCCCTGAATTGTTTGGCCCTTGACCTAGTAATGGGACCGTGTGGCATGACCTCCGGATCTGGTGTAGACGTGACTATATCAGGATGACATAGGGGAATGATTCAAGAAACTCGACCCATTTGGCATGTCTCTTGTTGAGCTTGTGTTGTCCCTTGATATGCTTTAACGCTTCATGATCAGTGTGTATCACGAATTCCCTTGGCAATAAGTAGTGCTGCCAAGTCTCTAATGTTCGAATGAGAGCGTACATCTCTTTGCCATAGACGGGATAGTTCAAGGTTGCACCATTTAGCTTTTTGCTAAAGTAAACGATTGGTTTTCCTTCTTGACTCAAAACAGCACCAATCCCAATCCCAGAGGCGTCACATTCAACTTCAAATGTCTTATCAAAGTTTGGCAAGGCTAATAGGGGAGCCTTTGTCAGATAATCCTTAAGTTCCTTGAAGGCTTCACCTTGTTCTTTGCCCCAACAGAAGTTTGAATTCTTCTTGATAATCCCGGTTAAGGGGGCGGCAATTGAACTGAAGTTTGGTACAAACCTTCTGTAAAAACTGGCTAATCCATGAAAGCTTCGAACTTGACTTACGTTGACCGGTTCTGGCCATTCTTGAATTGCCTTAATCTTTTCTGGATCAACTGCTAGTCCATGTGAACTAACAATGAAACCTAAGAAGGTAACTTGGTTAGTACAAAAAGCACACTTCTTGAGATTAGCATATAAATGCTCTCCTCTTAAAGTGCTTAGAATAATCCTTAAATGTTTAGCATGTTCGCTCAAGGATTTACTGTAAATTAGGATATCATCAAAGTAAACAACACAAAACTTACCGATGTAAGGCCGAAGGACATGATTCATTAGACGCATAAAGGTACTAGGAGCGTTAGTTAAGCCAAAAGGCATGACTAACCATTCATACAAACCTTGTTTCATCTTAAATGCGGGTTTTCACTCATCTCCTTCCCTCATCCTAATCTGATGATAGCCACTTTTCAAATCAATTTTGGAGAAGATGCTGGCTCCACTATGTTCATCAAGCATATCATCCAATCGAGGTATAGGATGCCTATATTTGATAGTGATCTGGTTTACAGCTCTACAATCCACACACATTCTCCAAGTTCCATCTTTTTTTGGTACCAACAAACTGGTACAGCACAAGGGCTTAAACTTTCTCGAATGTATCCTTTGTCCAACAGCTCTTTGACTTGTTTCTGTAACTCCTTTGTTTCATCAGGATTACTCCGGTAGGCTGGTCTATTTGGAATGGTAGCTCCAGGGATGAAATCAATTTGATGTTCAATCCCTCTAATTGGTGGTAATCCATCTGGGATTTCTTCAGGAAACACATCTTCAAAATCTTGCAAAAGAGATGTAATAGACATAGGCAAATCAGGGGGAATTTCAGCCAACAAACAATGATCTTTATGCATTAAAACGATTAAAGATTGTTGAGAGGAAAGACACTTCCTGATTTCTTTTCTGCTCGCATAAACGTTTATCTTCTTCTTCCCCTTTGCTTCTTCGCTGTTCTTTTTCAGACGAACTTGATCTTCTTGTACTTGACTTGGCGACAAAGGGGCTAAAGTGATTTGTTTTCCTGCATTCATGAACGAATACCTATTGGTGAACCCATCATGCATTACCTTCTTGTCAAACTGCCATGGACGTCCCAACAATAAGAGAGTGGCATCCATCGACACAACGTCACACATCACTTCATCCTTGTATTTTCCAATGGAAAATGGGACAAGAACTTGTTTGGTGACCCTTAACTCTCCAGCATCATTTAACCACTGTAGTTTGTATGGGTTGGGGTGCTTTGTCGTCTTCAGACCTAGCTTATCAACCATAACAGTACTTGCAACGTTAGTAGAACTACCGCTATCAATAATTACAACACATACCTTGTCATTCACAAGACATCTTATGTAAAAGATGTTCTCGTGTTGTTGCTCATCTCAGATTGGTTGTGCATTCAAGCTCCTTTTAACCACAAGTGCTTCTCCGGTTGCATAAGTCTGTATTTGATCGTCATCCTCATCATCATCCATCAAAGGGGTGTCTTGCTCATCATTGTCAGATTCGGACTCTATTTCCCCATTCATACATTTCATCATTGTCCTTCGGTTAGGACACTGACTTGCAATATGCCCTCTACCAAGGCATTTGAAACATTGGATGTCCCTTGTGCGTACTGTTTGTATCTGTTGCTTTCCACGTCCATTTTCAAAAACGAGAGGTTTTGGACTACTCGTCTCTGCTTTTTCCTTAATCTTAAATGGTGCTTGCTTCCTAGCATTGTTAGGAGTAACAGATGGATTAAAGGAAACTTTAGAAGGAGTATTACCTCGGTAAGAAGACTTTCTACGCTGTTGTGATATCAACACGTTTTCATCTACAAAGGGAGTACTTTTGAACATCTTTATATTGAATTTACTTATTATTAGCTTTATAATATATGCTATTATAATACATTTTATGATAAGAATATTAGTTAAGTAACTTAGTATGAATCCATATTACACATTGTTATTTTAATATGTTAAGCATGTTATGATAGTTTTATTATCATATTAAGCATGATTATTATATATACATCAAGGCAACATACTTATAATGCATTTCATTAGTTTATTTACATTCATATTAACTCTTAGGCTTTATACATTATCTTACACATATTAGGAGATGATGTACTTAGCTCATGACCATCATACTTAGCTCACATTACCATAAACAAACATGGCAGCAAGGTATTTAGCTCGTTTTAGCTCAATATCATGAACTTACCTTGTTTCCTTGCACATATAGGTACAATAGAGTGTGATGCACGTTGAGGTAGCTTGGTGAATGATTTGGATGTCATATATAGTTCACAAACAGCTCACAAAGTACAAGGCAACTCATGGAATGCTAAGGGAAGCTCGATTCAGCTGGAGAAGCTTCAGGCTAGCTAAACTTAGCTAGTTGGACTATTTGAAGCTGAGTTGCTAAAACTGATGACAAAGGTAGCTGAATGTAGCTGAACATGCTGTTATGGAGCTCAAAAGGACTCGGCTAGGAAGATCATTCACAAACAGCCCCATGCTTGCTAGCTAGCTCAACACTCAAGCTAGCTTGGAGGAGACACATGCACGCCTAAGAAGAAGCACATGACCAGCCATCATCCAATGCACATGGGTGCACCACAAGGCTTCCTAGAACACCCATGTGCCGTGCATATACCAGCCCCCATGTGCCTTGCATGTGAACTCATTTAGGCGCCAAGATGAAGAGCCCTCTCCCTATTCGGCCAAGCATCATCTCCCATCTAAATTGGCGCCAACTTGAGGAGACACAAGAACTATTCGGCCAAGGATCATTTCCCTCCATCTAGGGCCGAACCATCCTCTCTTTTAGCATTTAAATTATGTCTTTATAGGGAGATACATAGGCTGGTAGAATCATCTTGTATTTATTCGGCCATGTCTCTCCATTTCCTATAAATAGGAAAACATTCCATCATTTGTACGACACCTTTTTATTCAATTAAAGTGAGATTATTCTCTTCTTAAGTCTTTGTGACTTTTTATCGACTTATCAAGTATTTTATACTTGTGGCGTCAACCCCTTCCTTTCATCTTGATACTTCTGGTTCCTAGTTCATATAACTAGTGGGTCAAAGTACTTAACACCATCCCTTGAAGAAACAATATAAAGATTGGGTCTCTGCTCTATATAGCATTGGTTCTTCTTTGAGATTTCTTCAAGATACTATCCTCACAACCATCCTTTTATTTCATCACCATAACCATAGCCTTATCAACTATCTTCCGCTTCCATTACTCATTATTTAAATAGCCTACCAATTCACCCATACGTCTACCACCCTTAACCATTCTATTTTGAGCCATTCACTTTGCAGGTTGTTTTGCTTCCTTCCTAGATCCACAATCATTTGAAAAGGTACAAGTACCTTACATCAAGTGGTATCAGAGCTTTGGTGGAAGAAGCAACGTGCAACAACAACAAAAAGAAAAATACAAAAAGAAGTGCAAAAGTGAAGTGCAAAGTGAAAGAAAAAGAAAAAAATCAGCAAAGAAAATTGAAGGACTCAAAAGTCAAAGCACTCAAAAAGAAGAAGAAAAAACAAAGAAAAGAAAGAAAAGTTGGAAGCACTTTTCAACAATTCTCATCACCAAGCATTTTCAAGTAAGCCTTTAAAATTGATTGTGGTGATAGAAGGTTGTGAAGTGACTTGTGTAAGTAACCCTTTCATTCTCTTCTTTCTAATTTCTAAGCCACATTTTCAATTATATTTGCTTTCCATTCCTACTAACCATTTGCAGCCGACGCCAAACAAGTGAAATTACTCGATATAGTCTTGAGTAAAAGTTCATTAGAACTTGAGACATGAGAATTAAGGGAAAAAGGCTGGAGCGTGTGTGAGATCAGAAGAGGACAAGTAAAGGCCAATAAAAGTCCTAGAGTGCAAACACGAGCGGATTGAGTGACATCAAGTTTTCTTGGAGTGACTCGTGAGGCTTTGTGAGAGTATATTCTGATAAGGTCTTTTACACATCTTATTCTTTTCTTATTTATTAACCATGTCTCGGAGTTCAGGATAATCCCCAGAAAGAGAATCCCCTAATTTGCAGACTCAAGCCGTTATGCGTGAAATGGCAAGATTGCTGAAATTATAATTGGAGCCTTTGCAAGATCGTCTGGATCAATTAGAAGTATCTCTTGGCAATCGGAGAGTAAATCGCCCTAGAATGGAAGAAGACTTAGAAGAGGAAGAAGCTGAAGTAACATCAGTAGCAAGGAGAGATGTTCATCGAAATCAAAATGACAACTTCAGCAACATTAAAGTGACTATTCCTCCATTTCAAGGACGAACTGATCCAGAAGCCTATCTTGATTGGGTAATCAAAATTGAACACATTTTTGAATGCCAAAACTATACGGAGCAAAAGAAGGTTAGACTTGCTGCTATGGAATTCGTTGACTATGCCTTAGTTTGGTGGGATCAGTTGGTGAGTTCAAGAAGACGAAATGGTGAACGCCCCATCACAACTTGGGAAGAAATGAAGGCCTTTATGAGAAAAAGGTTTGTTCCTAATCACTATCACCGAGATCTCTATCATAAGTTACAAAATCTGAAACAAGGAAGCAAGAACGTTGAAGATTATTTCAAGGAGATGGAGATTTCCATGATCCGAGCCAATGTGGATGAAGATAGAGAAGCAACAATGGCAAGGTTCTTATCTGGTCTAAATATTGATATTTCTAACCTTATTGAACTTCAGTATTATGTAGAAATTGAAGAGATGGTGCATGTTGGCCATGAAAATTGAAAGACAACTCAAAAGGAAATCCTACACTAGGAGCAGTCCAAATTCGGCCACCAAATGGAAGCAAGAACCTATTACCTTCCGGAAACAAACTCCAATCCAACCAAAGGATCACGCAGAGATACCCAAATCTGCACAAATGGGCGAATCTAGTAAGGGTAAAGAAAAGCAAACCAGCACTTTCGAGAGATCAAGAGACATCAAATGTTTCAAGTGTTTTGGAAAAGGACATGTTGCTAGTCAATGTCCCAACCGAAATGCCATGATGGTACTTGACAATGGAGACATTGTATCAGATTCTGATGAGCCTATTTTTGACGAGGAACCTGAAATAATACAAGACGAAGAAACGGAAGAAAATGCAGATCATGGTGAAATGCTTGTTTCAAAGAGGTGCCTACAATCACAAACATCCCAAGAGGATATTCAAAGAAACAATATCTTTCATACAAGGTGCCATGTCAAGGATAAGGTTTGCACGATGATCATCGATGGAGGAAGTTGCACAAACGTAGCCAGCACTCTTATGGTTGAAAAACTTGGATTAGCAACGTCAAAGCATCCTACTCCGTATAAACTCCAATGGCTCAATGAAGGAGGTGAGTTAAATGTTACCAAACAGGTTCTAATTCCTTTTTCAGTTGGTAGGTACAAGGACGAGGTGCTTTGTGATATTGTCCCTATGCATGCTAGCCACATTTTACTTGGGAGACCATGGCAGTATGATAAAAGGGCTATTCATGATTATTTTCACAATCAATACACTTTTAAGCATGATGGACGCAAGGTGACCTTGATGCCTTTAACGCCCAAAGAAGTGCAACAAGATCAGTTGCATATGAGAAAAAGTGTACAAGCATGGCGCAAAGACAAAACCCCAACAAAGAATGAAGAGGAATAAAATAAGAAACCAAACTTCTTCATAGAGAAACATGATGGTTCAATGCTGGAAAATGAAGGGTCTTCTACGAACAATGGTGATGTTTGGGACTTAAAGTCGCAACTCTTCACCAATGGGTTTAATCTTCAAAAGGTAAGTAACCCTTCATATGAAACCTTTTCTCTTCTCACTTTTCAGGACCAATCACGTAAAAGGTCACTTCCAAAAGGGATATCCTTAGATAAAGATCATTCCCAAAAGGTATCTGTTGGTAAATCATATTCCAAAGAAAGACCTAAAAGGAAATCTTACGAAAAGGTACCTAATAGAAGAACACAAACGTTCAAAGAATACTTTCTATTAGCAAAGAGGCGTGAAGCTATGCAAGGACAGAATGAACTCGATTTGAGGACAAATTGCCCTAAAGAAGGGGGGATGATATCAACACGTTTTCATCTACAAAGGGAGTACTTTTGAACATCTTTATATTGAATTTACTTATTATTAGCTTTATAATATATACTATTATAATACATTTTATGATAAGAATATTAGTTAAGTAACTTAGTATGAATCCATATTACACATTGTTATTTTAATATGTTAAGCATGTTAGGATAGTTTTATTATCATATTAAGCATGATTATTATATATACATCAAGGCAGCATACTTATAATGCATTTCATTAGTTTATTTGCATTCATATTAACTCTTAGGCTTTATACATTATCTTACACATATTAGGAGATGATGTACTTAGCTCATGACCATCATACTTAGCTCACATTACCATAAACAAACATGGCAGCAAGGTATTTAGCTCGTTTTAACTCAATATCGTGAACTTACCTTGTTTCCTTGCACATATAGGTACAATGGAGTGTGATGCACGTTGAGGTAGC